AAATATCTGAAAACTGTCATTCGAGATACGTTTAACTCTGTTTTCACTTTGCCTCTCAATTTATCTTTGTTTAATATGGATTTCGGTCTAGCTCGAGACTTATTTCTCAGATTCTTATTTCTAGATTTGAATTTTTGAAACCGTCGAATTTCTCTCTCATTGATAAAATCTCTGAAAGCTAACCTAATATTTCGATATGTTTCAATTGCACTGCTGTGATCTAGTTTAAATTCGTACAGGAATAATATTTTAAATTCGTTATCAAAAAACAGTTAAACTGATACAAAAAAAACTTATTACACAAAAGAAATATAATAAAACAAAATATGCTAAGCAAAATATAGGTTAAATAGAGTTTACATTTATTTTAAAATTGGCAACTTCATGTGGTGAAAACAACTTAATACATATGCATAAATTCAATGACCATGAAAAATACTATAAAAGTTAGAACAAAATTATAATGAAATCGCTCGAATGTTCATAACAATGAAATTTTATTCGAAAGAATCACATGCTCGAAAATTTCGAAGATATCGAATAATCAAATCCAAAATTAGACACTAAGCGAAATAAAATTAATTAATTAAAATTTCGAGCAAAGTTATTTAAGTAACTTTAGTTACTTTAGTTAATTCAAGCTATTTAAGTTAATTACATTTATTCGTTAAGTTAGTTACATTTATTTTCTATTATTATTCACTATTACTATAATTAACCGCTCTTCGTATAACTTCGTTCATCGTTACAATTAATGATTACTCGACACTCTTTGATTTTAACTTTATTCTTAAAATTTTGCTCATCGTTACCCACCGTTGATAGATCGTCAGATGTCATACCATTTCACACGATAAAAAAAATCTTTGAATCATTGACACGATAACAAGGGCGAAGGAATGGAGCAACAAACTCATCGGTGGATGGAAATGGATAAAAGTGGTGGGGGAAATCTATTCTCGTGAATGGAGCAACGCGAAATAGCGCGACAGATCTGTATCGAGGTGGAATATCCGGATAGGAAACACGGACAGCAGCAGTAACTGATTTAGCCAGCGGAAACGCGCGCGCTGTCGCAACGCCAAGAACGTCCTGCAGGATGATAACGAGGTTGATGCGTATTGCGGTTGACGAACAGTCGACGTTTCATCATCCACATGGTTTCTGCAATTGCATCACGTCGCATTATCGCGTCACTCTCCACGTTCAAAATCGAAATGGAAGATAAAATAATAAGGTATAATAAGGATGAGAAATACAAATGGATGATTGGAATAAAATATCCGAATGATTAATGAAAATGTATTTCAAATTCGTCGTGATATTTTTATCGATGTCTACATGGTCGAAAACAATTTTGGAAAATTAAAGGATCGTGATTAAAAGAATAGGAAAAAGATTTGCGCGTACGGCTTTTCTGTGTGGCGGAGATGCGTTAAAATTTTTACGGCCCGTAGTTGACATGAATTTTCAATAGGTGGAGCGCTTGAACGTAGAGTAGTGCACTTTGCCTGTCACAATAGAGCCCGACTAGACGTGACTCGAGCATAAAACGTAATATCCGTGTCGGGAGACGCGTCGTTGCACTTAATTCTTCTACTTACCGCCTGGTTGCGTTTCGGTATAACGTCCATAGCCAGTCTTGTCACTTATCGAGAAAAATTGAAATACCAACGGACACATGCAGAATATACGTATGGATGAATATATGATGACTTAATTAATATATAGAATGATATATATAAATGATAGGATAATATATATAT